CCCTTTATATATTCCTATTTTAGAAGTATCATTCATATTGTATAATAAATATAATCTCAATAAAATGAATATGTCTTCTCCCTCTCACCGTCCTTCAGCTCTCTCAGTCCAGACGCAGACGTGGATGCCCAGTTCCAGAGGGAAGGCTTCGCCCGGCAGAGCATGTCCGAAAAGAGGACCAAACAGTTCGACGACGCTTCTCAACTGGACATTATCAAGAGCCGCAAGTCCAAGAGTATGGACCTAGGTAACACACACTCAATCTCACACTCCCACACCAGTCCCTGTCCCTTGCCTTGCTCCTGTTCCTTCGCTATCGAGCCGTGCGGTTTTCCAGCTGGGGTGCGAATGCAAGCGCATCGACGTTAAACTTAATAGTATCAGACACAGAAATGGGTGCACCAAACTTAAGAGTACAGAGAGTCGTTAAACATTAAAACTGCATTCACGATGACATGAAGTTAAAAACTGACTGCCGTCTCCTAACTAATATATGTGTCCGAGTAGCCGTTTGCCTCACCTGTTTGCTCTGAGGTGGGTTTGTCGGGACTCAAGGACAGGTCAGGGTTGTTGAGAGCGTGGAGTCGATCTCAGGGGACACACAGTCTCTGCCGCACGAACGCACGGCTAATCGGAGGAGATAAAACATCTCTTTCATCCTCCACCTCCTCTCCTTTATCCTTACTCAACATCAAGACCACAGCCTCCTGAGACCAGTGCCCCGCTCAGGCAAGAAAACACGAGACACCCGAGACCCGGCTCCCTCACACACTCCCTCTTTACACTTCAGTAGCAGAAGTGAAATGGCTGGAAGAAGATAGAGCACTTAAAAAATGAGAGAGTGAGGAAAAGAGGAAAAGGCAAGGGAAAGAAGCAGCAGATTTTAGACCTTTTTCAGTGCCTCGTCAAGGTTTAACGGAGTTAGATTAGGGATATGCATCAAAATTAAATGATTTGAGTTGGGGTAAATTAAACATATCAGTTTTGGGTCTTCAAATGTTCACACTCAAAAGCACTTACATACAGAAAAGAAAGGTAGTTCATTTTTAATGTTATTAAACTTAAACTTCAAAATTGAGACACTTGTTGAATCATGTTAGTGCTTGGACACCTGTGAGATCTACAGTATTTACATTTGATTAAAAGTAATAATAAAAAAAGAGTCAATGTATTTATATATAATACATTTATAAATGATAAATATAATAAATCATGATTATGAATAAGTTATTCGAAAGTCTTGTGTCAAAAACATGGGGTCAGTAAGATACAATTATATGTATATATATATTACTTTTATGTAGCAAGGAAGCATTACATTTATGAAAAGTGACAGTAAAAACATGTATAATGTTACAAAATATTTCTAGTTCAAATAAATTCTGTTCTCTAGAGCTTTCTATTCTTTAAAAACTCCAGAAAAATAAAATGTATCACAATTTACACCAAGATATGAAGCTGCTTTCAACATTGATAATAATCAGAAATGTTTCTTGAGCATCAAATCATCATATTAGAGTGATTTCTGAAGGATCATGTGACACTGAAGACTGGAGTAATGATGATTAAAATTCAGCTTTGATCACAGGAATACATTATACTTTACTGAAAATAGTTAATTAAAATTAATAATAATACTATTAATTCGTTACATTTATAAAGCGCTTTTCTAGGTACTCAAATTGCAATCGTATAGTAATAATATTTGACTGATCCCACACTTTTAAGGAGCCGCGTGGCTTTAACAAGATCATTAAATGTTCTGTGAAAGTAGCTCATTTATTTCCCAGTTTAAAGGCAGTTTCATCTTTTTATGAAATCCATTTGGACCAGAACAGATGTGTCCTGATGTTACTGGCCATTTCAAACAAGCACCGTTTCAAGCCGTCTCGACTCATTACAAGCACGTTTCAATTCCACCAAATCTCTTGTGCTTCGTTCTTATGAGCCATTTTCTTCAAATGGCATCTCTGCCTTCAGGTTGAGTATATATGTTTGCCCCTCTCCGGCTTTTAGAAGAATACAATCTGTGGCAACAGTATAAAGGCTGTTTGAGAGCCATCATGAGGAAAATTACAGAAAAAAATACTAATAATTCAGACTTCATGGTTTGATTTTCGACTGTATGCATGGTAAGACAAAAAGGAATTGGTTACGCCTGGTTCATTGAGCTAAAATCCCCTAACACAGTATAACTGCCCAATGCTTTTGAATGTTAGAGATCACATATTGCATGCTAATGCCCTCAGTTCTCTCTCTCTCTCTTTCCCCGCCTCATGGGTTATCCCACTTTGACTGTCTGACTGTCTCACTTCCACCTGATGATTTGCATGCCTCTTGGCTTGGCCTTTGCAAATGTCAAGTAACATCCGTACTGGAATGGATTGGTGCATGGGTCTGGGAATGGTGAATGTCTTGAATTAACCAATCACAATTCTTTATGCCTCCCTAACAGTAGCCGACGAGTTTAACCTCACTCCCCGCAAAGAGAGGACCGAAGGTAAGGCAACCAATCAGGGACACTCTCCACACTAACCTCATTAGCGGACTGCACCTCTGTGTGTTTGGGCATGCTCATTTACGGACATTTGGTGGATTTTGAAAAAGATTTTTAGACAAATCTATGCTCTGTTGCAAAACCTAATGAGCTTCCAGCCGCAAAATTATGTTGCCGCCATAAATGCTTCACTTTAAAAACTAGCATTTTGTGTATCCTTCATGCAGAAAATACTCCTTGAATGTATCACGAGTATAAGATTGAAAATTGTTGACTATAATTATAATAATTCAGTCAATCATCTTTTTTTAAAGATTCCCAAGCAGTTTTACCCCAAATTTGTGTCGTTAGCTTAGCAACATGCTAACATCAAACTCTATTATATGTTCAGGAAAATGTGTACTAGTTATATTTACATTAGATACTGAATGGTATAGAAACATTTGTAATCTCATTTTAAGTTTTAATCTAAAAAACGACAACTTTACCATATCTACTGTGTCTACTTAGCCTAGCAACATGCTAATGTCAAACTCTTAGAATCAAGTAAGAAAAATGTAGATACCATATAGGCTATAAATAGTTCATTAGATACTGAATAGTATACAAACATTGTTTTAAGTTTCAGTCTAATTAAAAATTGTACTTCATTTTTTATGCCTTTAGCTTAGCAACGTGCTAATCTCAAAGGTTATTACAATCAATTGAGCGAAATGTAGACAACAGTTATACTATTTAATTGTATACTTAATAGTATAGAAAAAACATCACGTTTCAGTCTAAGATGGACACATTTGTTCATGGTTGCGCCTTTAGCTTAGCAATATGCTAATGTCAAACTTATTACAACCAGTTTAGAGAAATGTAGAAAACAGTTATAATATTTCATTAGATACTGAATATTTTTTTGAAGAAAAAAAAGCAGTTTTAAATTTCTGTAATTAAAAACAGTAAATTTTACCCAATATGTATTTCCCTGCTGAAAAAAACAAAACAAAAAAACAGATAAAACCAGCTTCGGCTGTTTGGCTGGTCTTAGCTGGTTTAAGCTGGTCTTCAAGCCTGGCTAAGCTGGTGCTCAGCTGGGTTTAGCTGGTCTTTAAGCTGGTCTTCCAGCCTAAGTCCAGCCTGGTCAGCTAAAAAAGTGTCCAAAACCCTCTGAAACCAGCCTGGGAGACCAGCTAAAACCAGCCAGATGGGGTTATAATATTTAATTAGATTGGATGGTATAAAAAAAAACACATTAGACATCAAACTAATTAGAATCAATTGTGAGTTCTGTGTTTTGTATAGTTCTCATGAATAGCATTATTTTATGCGGTGTGGAGATGCGATGTCTGTTTAGGCAGTAGACAACAAGGCGGCTCAATAGGTTTTGGAACAAAGCCATAGTATCCTTTAACATGAGAAATGAACACTGCAAGACCACCAGTGATGATGGAAATGAGTCCAGCAACAAGTTTAATCTGTGTTTGGGAAAATCCTTCAAAACCGCCCGCCTTTGACTTCACGACTCTCCTATCTGGTGTTAACTGTTAGTAATCAATCTAACTAAACGACTGTGTGCGTTGTGCTCGTTAAGGAAGTCATTTGAAGTAATTGCCATCAAATCAGAGAGGGTGTTGCTTTCTTCTTTCCCATTGAAATGAAGTGCCCTGGTGTTAAATAAACGTTTTGGCAACAACTTTTTTTGGAAAGCGAAGCGGACTGCCTGTTCTTGAGGGGTATGATGGAAGAAAACATTAATTATGCAGAGGAGTTCTAGAATGGGAAAAGAAACGGAGGTGTGTGTGTGTGTGTGTGTGTGTGAATGCATGAGTGTGTGAGGAGGGATTGCTGAAATTCTGTTTGAAATAAAGAGCCTCAATGTCAGACGGGCCTGTTTGGCTTACTGCAATTAATCCATCAATGTCAAACGTCTGGAGAAGCGAGCTGTAGTTGCAGCACTGGGGAGAACGTATGCATGCTGTGTGGAGAACTAGAGATGCATGGAGACCGGAGGTTCTGTGTTCAGAGTCATGTAATGTCGAGAATTCATCCTGTCAAAGAGTCAAAGCTTTCCTGTGTTAAAGTCAACATGAAATGCTGTTCGCAACCCAATTTATTTCCAAGAAATAAAATGTCAGAAATGGAAGGAGGGAATTGAATGGATAGTGAAAAATACTAGAGTTGCATAGTAGTCATGTGTCAACTTACTTTCCGTTCTACACTCTTAGGGCCGTTCACACAGAACGCGTTTTTCCATTTTTTTTTTTTTTATGTAAACATGCGTAAAGGACGTGCATGACGTTTTCACATGAAACGCCGTTCTAAAAACCTGGTGCTCAAGTTTAAAGAAGTTCAACTTTTAAAAAAACGCGTCTCTAGACCATGCGCTTTTGTCGATCCACTGACCAGCATTCTGTGTGAACCAGCCCTTAAAAATAAAGGATGAATGTTTGCCGGTTCCCGCCTCCTCCTTGCCTGACCTTTAAACATTGCAACAATGCTTCTAAAAGGGTGTTTTTGTGGCAATACTAAAGAACCACCATCTTTTATTCCCTATAGAACCTTTAAAGTCCCCCTGTAGTCAATAATTTGATCCCTTAAAACTCATCTTTGATCACCAAAATATCACATTTGAACTTTTTTTTCCTTGAAAAAAAAAAACGGTACCCCTTCCTTTTACAGTCCTGTTACCCATGTACTTACTATCTACTTATTATAGTAATTATAATTACTGGGTAATAACTAGGTACCAACCCTGAACCTACCCCTAACCCATGTACTTACCTTATATTAGCCAGTACTTTCTAGGTAAGTACACTGTAAGTACACGTAAGTACTGTACTGTAAAAGGAAGCATTACCAAAAAATCTTAATTTCTTCAAATATCTTGAATGTAACTCGACACCCTCGCCTCATTTAGTATGCGCGGTTCTATGAATATGCAAATGAGCCCCACCTCCACTCACTCACTCAGCTCAGAGATCCACTGGTTGACGATCACACGTTGATCTGATTGGTTACAAGGTCGTTTGTGACGTCAGAAACACCAGCGATTTCAAACCGTGTTTTTGAGACTGTCTTTGGTTCACTGCAGTTTTAAGCAGAAAATACTCAGCAATGCTGTCGACTTATGAACTTACACATGGTTTGTCGTAAAGCGTATTAAAAACACCACATAGACACATAAACAACATTAAAAGCTGGATTTTCAGAGTCTTAAGAGCTTGTCTGTCAATCAAGGGTTGAGCAAGTTGACCAATCTATAAACAAAGCTGGATTTTCAACACAGGGGGACTTTAAGTGATCAGTTCTTAAAAAAATAAAAAATAAAATCTTAGTGTGAAGAACATTTTAATAATCCAAATAACCTTTTTTCCCATTATAAAGAATTGTTGCAATGTTTAAAGTTCAGGGAAGAAGGAGGCGGGAACCGGCAAACATTCAAAGATTATTTAAATCATGAATATTGTGACGTGTTCGTTCCCGGAAGAAACTCAAGTCTACAATGGAGGCGTTTGAGGAGTTCAGAAACACTGACTCTGATATAGAGAATAACTGGAACTTTGCAGAGCTTTTTCATCCTCAAACTGCAACATTACACACTAAAGAAAGATGAACATGTCAAAAAGCAGTTTCAAAGTCACCACATTCTCCACAACCGTCAAAGTGCCAGTATGTCTGGAAGTGACAGTGAAGGATGTCACTTGGGGACCGTTTCATGACTCAGCAGAAATATGAATGTGACTCATCAGATTCTGAGCATCGCTGATGTCATTAATGAAAATGTAATGACTGACTGGCTTGCGGCATTAGAAGTTAATTAGGACAGATGTAAAGGAGCAAGGGACAAACCTGGACATCCTCTGGTCCACTAATGATCCCGGACACGCGGGGATGGAGGGTCCGTAACCCCAAGACTCCTTCAATCTTCATGGACACACCGGGACAAAACCTCCTTGCTGCTGCAGAGCTATTTTAAGCCTAATAACCCTTTTAACTTAATGCATGAAATTGCAGATAGCTGAATAAATTACATGCGATGGATCGTGCTTTCATACGCAAATGCTGGCCTGCGTTACCTTGAGTATCAATAATGAGAAGATTGCCGGTCATCTGGACAATGCCACGGCCACAGCACTCGTAGTGTTATTTAAAGCCTAAATGATGCTTTCTTTTAGCATTTAATGGTAATCACTCTTAACCGCTCGAGTGCTGGAGGTGCCTTTGCTAATTAAAGAGGAAGGTGCTTTATGATATAGATATATCTTCACTGGTGTTGTGTCTCTGCTTCTTTTTCTCCTTTCACTTAAAGTACCATGGTATAAAGTTTTTTTTTTTTTTTTTCGGTGTATAAGTAATACAATGGTAATATTTGGTCAAGTTTAAGTGTTTTATACACCACCATTCAAAATGATTTTTTTTTAAATGTTCTCTCCAAGGCTGCATTTATTTGATCAAAAATACTGTACAAACAGTAATATTGTAAAATATTATTACAATGGAAATACAGGCAAATTGCCAGTGCTATTGTACATTTCAGCTTATAAGAGTACAATTCATCTTATACTATGGTGAAACCACAGCATTTTTTAATTTTTCCTTTAGTTATATAGTATGTTATATTCTATGACACTGAAATGAATTTACCTTGGTATTAAAGGGTTAGTTCACCCAAACATGTAAACTCTGTCAGTAATTACTCTCCCTCATGTTGTTCAACCCCGTAAGACTTTCGTTCATCTTCGGAACACAAATTAAGATATTTTTTATTAAATCTGAGAGCTGGATCACTCCTCCATAGGCTTCTAAGGGATCGAAACTGGCCGGCCCAAAAGTTATGAAAGACATCGTTAAAATAGTCTGAGTGACGACAGTGGCTCAACCTTAAGTTTATCAAGTGACGAGAATACTTTTTGTGCGCCAAAAAACTAACAAAAAGAACGACTTTATTCAACTATTCATTTCCTTATGGATTATTCAATGAGTGAGTGTATGAATGAGTGAATGTGAGGCAA